CGTAGTACGGAGAAAACAGATGAGAAAAAAAGGAACCCTCGACCTTGGATGACAATGTAGCCACCGTTCAACATGAGCTGTTCAGCCATAGAGTGCTTTTGAATGGACCATGTAGACAACTTTCAAGACATAATAGAACTTGGTCAGAGGAAAGATACGATTATAAATGGCCGGGGATTCTCCGTCGAGGTACATTTTGTGGACAAACGCTATATATTTCTAAACGCTTGCGGAGGAGAAAAGTAAAGGTTAAGGAGTGGACACGGCCTGGAATCAGAGTCTCAGTACAAAATTGTAAATGGAATGTTCCTGAAGCTGGGGTGGCTTCCAGTTCGACTTCCAGCAAACAAGGGGGTCCTCACCCTTACACGTTCGTTTGCCCCGGCAGTTGAAAGTTCATATCCGTCATTAGACGTTCGCCTCTGTGGCATAAAGAGGGACACCCTGTTTTACGTCCCCGGGCTGGCCACCGGCACGGGAAGTGCTGGTCTGTGGTGATGTCAGTCTCAGGCACTTTTCTTGGGTTTGTTTTTGCCTCACTTGGAGCGGGTTTTGGGGAATGGCAGCCCTGGAGGCCGTGCTCAGGAGGGAGAGAAAATGGGAGCTGGGCTTTGACCTGCCCGAGAGGAGCCCCTGCTGACACGGTCAGGCTGACCCATTGAATGGCCTGAATACGATAAATGCCGCTTTATCCTGCCTTGAAAGGCAGGAGATAGCACCGTCTAAATGCCCGGGCATGCTTAAATAGGCGACTCGGGATGTTTGAGTTGAGCGTGTTTGAAATCTGAGCCCTCTGACAGCCTGGGAGCTGCCACAGGTCACCTGCCTTGCTCCGCAGGGACAGGCCCAGGTCTCACAAGAAATTGTCCGTAGACGAATTGTAGTACAAATTCCTTTCTTTGTTGGTTGGCCTCTTTCACTAGACCATGGCCTATAAAATTTTGTAAAAACAATTCTTAAATATTATTTGAAAGGGCAAATGGCCCACGCTGAAAGGCTTGACAGTTTGACATATCGAGCACGGTGGTGATAGCTCGGGAACCGAAAAGTATGGCCAAGATTCTCCCCCGGCTTGTTAGAAGCCTGGTGTTTCTCAAATAGTGTCTTGTCGCTGCACAGAGTTCCTCCGCTCCCAGCAATCTGACAGGCGGTGCGTGTGCTTCAGTGATCTTCAATCCTCCCGGACTCGTTTGGGAGAGAGCTGAAAAACAGCTCGCACCTTTGAATCCAGAGTCCGGAAAGCACAGAACCAGGTACTGCCAATTAAGGAGCCATTCAGACACTCATATCAAAGCAGATCTCTTTGGAGGCTTCTGAGAACAGCTGGAACCAGGGCCTAGAGAGAGAGGAGCCCCGAGTTTCACTTCAGTGAGGGAAGAAACAGGAATTGAGTGTCCCGGTCTCATCAGAACCTGGAAGTCTCCCGGAAGGGGGTTTCTGCATTAGAATGTTGCATACGAGCAGCCTGCGTGTGCTCAGCCCGGCTGCCTCGGCATAGCCAAAGGCCATTTCCAGGAGCCTCTGGCCCCTCAGCCACTGGCCTGCTAGTTAATTGCCACACGGACTTCATGACACATGGGCAGATAATATGACATTTTCGGTTTCTGTCACTAGCAAACGCCACAACGTTGCTTGCACTAGTTGCTAAGAAGCTGTCAGAAACCATTAGCAATGGGCTAAAGTCGCCCTATGGCATTTCCTCATAGCATCAGCAAAACGAGCATAAATCACCCACTGGAGCCTACTGCTATCCTAATGAGGCTGTAAGCTTGTTTATGGACTAGCATCATTTTTATGATTATTTCCACCTTTTCAGTTTGCCTTCATTTGGCGGCAGTGAGAAGTCAGCTCCAGGAATGAAGTCACTGCTGACATTTTACAAATGTTCAGAGCTGCTGCCTGCTGCCGTGTGGTCGGCCGGCGGTTCTCCAAGTTTGTTTAGTGATCTTAAAAATAAAAAAAGGAAATAAATCCTCCAGAGACCGCAGAGAGGTGACTGTATCCAATTGCAGAGTGAATGGATATGCTAAAGGTACAATTGACCATTTAGACCGTCCTCTGAGGTGGAGACGTTGTGAGATCAATTTTCAATTTTAGAAAGTGGAAGAGGTTAAACAATTTATTAAAATCTATGGAAGTGTTTGCTTTTAAAATAGTCTGTTTTATTATGCTCTTCTCCTTCCCCATCTCTCCATTTCCCTAACTTGTGTCGGGAAGGAGCAGGGTTTATTGTTTTAGGCTTTTCTGAACATGCACCAGTATTTACACTGGATTGAAAGCATTTGCTTCCAATGAAAATCTTGTCTTAGATTACAACCCAGCAGTGTAATTTCCCTCCCAGATGGGAGTAAAGTAGCTGTATTTGCCTAAAAACAGTAGGAAGAACAAACTGCATTAAGCCAAGGCTGTTTTTGGCTTGAGCTAATGATGTAATAGAAACCTTTTATTCGGGAGAGGTCACTGGCAGGGACTGACGGGGGTGATCTGGCTCCTGCTTGAAAGGTTTCTCCATTGTATCTACATAAGTCTTCACTTAAAAAATTCTGTTCCTAATGCTTCTGCTTTCATATAGCAGAAATAAACAGGAAAGGTTCTGGTGAGTGTTACACATGGAATGCAGAAAGCCTTCCTCTCCTAATGGAGTATATAATTCAGGTGCCCTCAAGGCACGCTTTCAGGAATTCTTTCGCCTGGGGTAATGGGAAGCTAAGGCTGCTTTAAGGCCTTGATTATCTATTGATGCACAAAGCTGGAAAAAAGTCATCTCCGCTGGATTATAGTAGATATTTCCATAAATTATCAATGAATTCTCTTCTAGGCAGGCACTAGGCATTGCCTGCTAAATTAATCTGAGGGGGTTTTGAGATGGAGAGAAAGGCTCTTTTTTTTTTTTTTTTTCTTAAAGGTGGAAAACGATCATGGTGGTGAAAAACTGTGTCGTTAGGTTAGAAGCTTTTCATTTTTAATCAATGATCAGGTAATATGCTCCTTTTCCTTGGTTACCTTTTGCATACTGCAAGTGGATTAGCCCATTGAAATATTAAATGCTGTGGAGTTGTTTTCTTTGCTCATGTTTCTTTAATGAATTGTTATTTCATGTGGTGAATTGCTTCTCTGAATAAAAAGCCTCTTTAAATACTGGACTTACAAAGAATTTGTTAGGCAAATCCAAGGGGACACCTTATAAAACACTTGGTTATGCAAATAGAGAGTTGGGTGGGATGGAAGTACTGATTTAGGGATGGGGATGTCGCCCGGCACAGATCCACCAGCTCCAGCCCAGGCTGGGTGACCTTGGGCAAGTCACCCAACAGGAACACAAGCGCTTTCCCCATCGAGGGCTTTGGCACTGTGGGTCTTTACGATCTTTTCTGCTGAGAACACAGCTATGACTCTGTGGGAACGTCAACCGAAATATGTGGATTTGAAGTACAATAAAATATATGCAGTTTAAAATTAATTAAAAAGTAAACTCTGAAAAGTTCTGCGAGCATTTTTGGATGTGCAGCCTATGCTGCAGTCATAGCAGAAGTGTTTAAATTAGTCTGTTCTTCACCCAACAAAGTTTTACAAACTCAGTACAAGTCAAGGCAATCTGGGGAGTGGGCTGAGGGTCTCCTGCCTGGTTAATGACTAATGGTAACATAACTGCTGTAGATTAGACCGAAATTAAAATAGAGAATTCTTTTTGTATGTAGTATATGTAGGCTAACAGAAATAAGGAATATGGAAATTCATAAAGCAACATACAGTCCCTGGGAAACTTGTCTCACCCAAGTGCCCAGTTCTTTGGGCCTCACAGGCTGCTCTCCAGTGACTTACATAACCCAGTGCGTGTGGCCTCGAGGACACTTGTCACCTCGTTGCTAAGCCTTGCTGCTGTAGCTCTTCTTTCTGGGCCCAGGGCAACCTGTCCCTTCCTAAAAGCCAGTGGCTCCCACCAAGAGCTAGGGCTCTAGGTAGAGAAGAAGCCTGTCTGAAGCCACTTCTCAGTGTACTGGGTTTAGTTCACTGTTGTTTTTCCTTTGACTTTTGCACCAAAACACAAAGTACTTGCTTCTCACTTGTACCTTATGACTTATTTTGGACAGTGTGATTTTGTATGGGCTGACTTTTTTTTTTTTTAATTAGACACAGCATTGCAAAAGAAACATTACATTTTAAAGTATATTGTGTCATAGAGCAAAATATTTTGTAGAAGGCGCTTGAATGTTCTACCAAAAAAAAAAAGGAAACTAGGATCCCATATACAGGCATATGCAAGCAGGTGACTTTTCAATAAGAAAAATTTAAATGTAGAAGAAATTTTAGAAACTGCCTGGATGATTAGGGTAATACAATTCCAATTGACTGTTAATTTAACATCACTTTATTTGATTTAAATAGTCTGTTTTTTAATTAAAAAATAATTTGGGAATTTTTCCCTTACTTAACTTGATGCTCTTTTTCTATGACAAGAAAAATTATATTCTATTTGAAGCATACCTATGTCAAAACTGCTTATATGATGGATCACCTACATTTTCATGGCCTAATTTAGTCTTAAGATAGATCACTTGAGGAAATAGTTGATCTCTCAAATGCATCTTCCCACAAGCTGACTATATGTGGGATTTGAAGACCCAGGCAGGACCGAACTCTGCTAATGGCTGCCAGCATATTTAACTCTCCAAAAGGAGTTACACTTAACATATCTCAGCTACACACATTTGAATAACTACCATGGCAATACAGCTACCAGAGAGATTCAATTTTTCCCTCCATCCCCTTTGACCTTTTGCACTGTTCTTTGGATGAAGTCCCTTAGACCTGACCACTTTTGAGCTTAGGCCTTGTTCTTTCTCTTTGTTTTGGAAAATAAAAAAATAAAAAAAACAGTACCAAATATACTATTAATCATTTATATTGCTCTTTCGGTTTTGTTTATATCCAAAGGCATTCTATTTGAATAAAGCATGTCAAGGTAGCATCAGTCAAAATTTGATTCACTATGTTTGCAGGTGATGGCTTGGACAACAGTGTAGCTTCCCCCAGCACAGGTGACGATGATGATCCAGATAAGGACAAAAAGCGTCACAAAAAGCGTGGCATCTTTCCCAAAGTAGCCACAAATATCATGAGGGCGTGGCTGTTCCAGCATCTAACAGTAAGTGGAATCTAAATGACATATGTAAACTAAATATGGACAAACAGTTTTGATAGAGAAAAAAAAAATGGGGGAAAAGTGATCCCTCTGGACCTGGAATATTTCATACATTACTGTGTTCCCACAGTTTTTACAAAAGTGTCCCCACTCATTTCCTAGATACGTACCCCCAATGAGGAGCTTGATTTGAAGTTTGCTATTGCAATGTTGTTAACTTTCGGAGGTTTAGGAGCCCACGTGCACTTGTGATTTTAAGAATGTATGTTAACAATGTTGCTGCTGTGCCTCTGAAGTCGTTAGAACCAGCTTCTACTCTGAAGCAAGTGAGACAAACCCCAGCGAAGGACTTAATTTCTTCCACTGCTTTGGTGGACCTTTATCACGAACGGTCCACAAAAATTCCGATCTTGTTGCAATGGCAGGATGTGCACATAATTTGCTTTTAAGTGGTTCGAATGCACTGGCTGCCGTTCCAAAACGCCCCTGTGGTTCAGAGCCACACAGTGAAAGTTGTCCCTGTATTTAGAACTGTAAAGGGAAACAGCAATAGAGAGCCAGCTCTTCCTGTGTAGTCCCTTGTGACTTTTCAAGCAGAGTAACAGTTTATATTGTCTGTGTGAGTATTGCTGTTTTCACTGCAGGAATTCTCCGGGAGATGTGAGAAACTGGAGGTTTGGGGCTTTCTGCCACCGAGGGATTTGTTTTGTTTGGTTATTGTTCTGAATGAATTTCATGTTCAAAATATTTATAGTCATAATATTGTGGTGGATATTTTTGTATGTGCATACTGATTTAATGACATCTAAGGAAGAAGACAAAATGAAAATTTATGAGTAAAATAATATTTTAAAAATCAGCAAAATTGTTGACCCAGGGGGACTCTCACTCTGAGGGACAAAGGATGAAGTTAGACTGGTGGTAGCCTAGCCTAGCCTAAGATGAATGAATAGTAAGAATCTCGGCCTTTTCAAAACTGTCAGGAGCAAAGCTTTTATGTTACTATTGTTAGCACAGTTTACTTTGCTTGAAGTCACACATTTTTCTTAAGCATCAAAGTTAATTCTGCATTGTCACAAACGTGTCCTGACCTGTTGACCTTCACACCCTTGCCCACTTTCAAAGCCATGGTCCTCAGTGATTTGTTCTGATACAGGGGGACAAACAGGGGATGTCGGAGGCCACGCTGGTTCTGCTTCTCTGGACAGAGGCTGTGCCTCCAATAACACTTGAGGGTATAAATTAATCCAGAGTTCCCAGCATCCGTGAATAAAACCAAAGCTGAGAGCAGCAGGAGTAACTAAGAAAATGGTTTCCATCCTTCACTTCTTCCCATGATGTTCCAGTTACCAGACGGTGCTGACGGTGTTGGAATCCGCTTTAGGGGATGGTGAATGCTGGTAGCTGAAGACTTAGATTGCTTGGCCGATTTAACATCATATTGGGTTTGCCTAAACCCTGACTTAGGTGCCATTACTTATCTGACACTTGTTGCTGCATGTGGGTACTTGGAGATCTGCCTTGTGCACGTTTGCTGCTGAGGATTATCAGGCACTACTGAACGGGAGAGGGAGGACCAAGGTCTAGGGGGCACTTACAATCAGCAGGAGATGAGAAGTGATAGTTGGTCAGTAGTGCTGATGCAACCATGCTGATACTTCATCACTTGCACTGACCAGCTAACCTGATCTGGACGCTGCGTTGGGGGAGGGGACACAGTCAGGTCAACCCTGAAGTCACAACCAAAATATTTCTATTTCCTGTACTAACGAAGAAAATGAATAGATTTCATCAACTTCCATCTCAGTCGGCAAAGGAGCTGTGGCTTTATTTGCACCTGAGGCGCCCCTGAATAAAATATAGTCAAATATTGGTTCAGATAGAATCAGGAGAGAAGCAAGTTCTTTTATGCATTCAGCAGGTTCCCTAGGTTATACCCTTGTGAAGGACCTTGCAGAGAACTGTATTAGCTTTTTCTTTTTTAAAAATCTTTTTACCAGCTAGCATGATTTTACCTGCATTGCAATGCTTTTAGTGGTCCCTGATAATGGGGTGATTGTAACAGAAATTATTCGTGAACTGCCTGATTTCCCTCAGTGTTGGGTGTGTGCTGGCCTGTGTCACTACCTGGGAGAGGGAACTCATTTGTCCATGTAGCCCTGGCTCTCCATGAACGCTCATGGACATCGCCTTGTGGTTTGTTGGATAATTCCACACCCTCCTGCCCCATTGCACGGCCATCTGCCAGGACAAAAATATTGATAATTGTCTCTAAAAAGAAAATGCTCTCATAATATCATCTAAAAAGCAAAGTTAGGAGATATATTTAAATGTTCTCCCTCTTTCCTTTCCCCAATGAGAAAGATTCCCTTCGCTTTTCTGTAGTTACAAGAGCAAATAGATCTCCAGTTATAAGAACACCCTTCTCCTTGTCTTGTTATACTTCTTGAAGGAATTCACAGAGTGCTTAGGTAATATTTGTAGTCAGGAGCTGATCATAATAAGTTCTGTGGAAAAACCTATAGAGTGTAGAGAGAGTTTTGTTGTGATTTGTCCAGATTTAAATAACTACTGACATCTCAGTACTACTAGTCCTTTAGCAACTTTATTTCAAGTTCGGAGAGGTCTCCAAGGATGCACAATTCATTTGGAAGACCGTGTACAAATTTTAAATGTAACACATTCTTGCTTGATGATTAATGCAATTTATGTAGAAAATTCTTTCTTGAATCTTGCTAGGTATAAAAGAGTTGTGGAAACTCTGGCTAATTAAAACAATAGCAGTAACAATTTATTAGCAAATTGTAAAAACTAATCTATTAAATGCCAAAGACATATTATAAAACCCCACACACCTCTTTAAAAGCAAATTGCTATTTTTTTTTTCTTTTTCAAATAAATGGGTCAATCTTTTCATTGAGCTTATTCAGTTTAAAAAAATCTGCCTTTGAAAAGGCTTTCAAGCAGTTGTGTGTTAGAGCAGTAGAATAGGCCTTGAATTAAAAAAAAAAGAAAAGAAAAGAAAGAAAAAAAAACCTTTCTGGATTTGCACCCCAGCTGCGTAGGGAAAATGTGTCGTTCTGCAGTTATCCACAGGTAGATTTAATCAGTAGCACATTTTACTGCTCCAGAGAGAGAACGTAAGCTCCATTCTTGAACTCACAGTCTCTGGCATGCTCAACTGGACATACTTGTGCAAAATGAAAACAGTGAAAGAAAAAGGAAACCGATTTTAAACTTCAGTGATTAGGGGTTAAAGAAAATTTCACTGATGTAAATTTTCAGCTTAGACTACGTAGCTGAGCATTTGCCAGTTTTGATAACTAGAGAAGTTCTCTTAAAGGAAACTTTTTCCTGGAATTGAAAAGAGGGACTGACATTTAGATACTAAGAGAGAATGAGAAAGAAAATAAAAGCATTTATTAACTGAAATGCTTGCATTTGCCTGAAGACAAATTATTGCAAACAATTAAAAAGTACTTAATATTGGCACATGAGTCACTGTGGAGTGACAGGCAGGTCAGGGGCACATGCCACACCGAGATTTATTTTTCCTTCGTAAGGGCATTATTCCAACTGTAAATATAACCTACTGTGTTGTAAGGTTTAAGCTGGACGTGTTTTGCATATTAGCGGTTATTTTGCTACATAGTGCTCTAGTGAAAATGAGGAGAAGGAGTAAATACAGTGTTTAAGGTAAAAAATCAAGGATTTATTTTTCTTTTTGTTTCCCTGCCCTAAGAGATTGCAGTTTTAAACATAATCTGAATAGAAAAGCGGTTAATATGGTTCTTATTTAAAATATGCAGTGACATATTTTCCTGAATGGAGCGGATGTGTGTCCCAGGAATCCTGAAAGTTAGAAGAGTGAATGTTGTTAAAATGCATCCCAGCAGATTCGGGGGAAGCCACAGTCCAGGGGTGACTCTCTGGTCGGCACTGACCAGCAGAGGGGATCCTGAAGGTGAATTGATTTTCATTAGAATCTCTTGGATTCCTAGTCCTTTCACTGATGTTGATCCCACTGGCTTCTATAGAGACAAACTTTGTTTCAAAGTCAAATACACTATTTGGTTTGGTTTTGTTTGTTTGTTTCTTTTTGTGAACTTCTAGCATGGGGGAAAAAAATTGTGTGTGTGTCTGTGGCCAAATTTATGTCTGGGTTTCTTATTTATAAGACTTTCTTCTCATTGTGGATAGAGCCAAGAGTGAGAGGTTGTAGAATCTTCCAGGTTGTGAATGGAGTTTCCATAGAAACACTATTAGATGAAAAGTGCCCTGCGGGTCCGCTACTCTAAGGATGGAGTAAATGGAATTGAATTGGGAATCGAATGCTCTAGAAGAGACAGATGTTGTTTCAGTGGTTTTGCTTTTGGTAATAAGATCTGTTGGAGACAGCTTAGTGTCATATCTCTGCTTGCAATTTTGGAAGAACTGCTCTCTAAACATTATGAATTATTATTACAGTGCAAAAGTACTTCTAATTAGGATCCAGATAACCCATTCTGTTGATCCAGGTGAGCGAAAGATCAAAAGGTAGATAGGTAGGCACGCAGGTAGGCTTCCTTTTCTCCCATTTCTATTTCTCTCTGTTCTTCACCCCTATACTTTGCCAGTTTTAACAACGAATCTTCTTATTGTGTCTTACCAGCTGGCATCCCTTCAGCTGCCATTAGTCCTACGCAGGTAGTGGCCAGGAAGACTGTGTTCTTGAATGCTTGCCTGCAGTGGCAGTCAGGATAGTACCAAGTATTACCTCCAAACTAGTCCTAACCTATCTTCCTGAGCCAAGGAAGATGGTTGGTGGAGACAGCAGCTAACTTAGATTTCCTCCTCACTACGTGTTATCTGCAGACGTATTATTAAATTAAGGGACTTGAAAAGTAGTATGAAGAAATGAGGTTTTTTTTCCTTCCAGATGTCCAGGTACCATATCAAAAATGAGCCCTCTTAAATCCGTAAGACGCATATCTCTGTAGTTATTACTTTTTCCCTTACTTGGA